GATTTTAGGGTGATGTGGTTTCCAAAATAACAATGAATTTTCTTCATAACTTTTTTTAATTGTTCAATAATTTTTTCTATACTTATTTCTATTCCCATTTTCAAATTTTGTTTATACAATATTCTTTTATTTTTTATTTCATTAAATATTATTGCTTTTTTCTCCTATTTATCACCATGTTGGGCGGACTGAACTCTGTAAGGTCTAAATTTTCTTGAAATTTTTAATAAATGTCCACATGGTGTTTGTAGCATTATCATATAATTATTTTGCTTATAATATTAAAATTGTTGTATAAAGTCATTTCCTAATAATATATCACACTCTAATTTATCATATTTATAAATTTTACTTATTATAACTTGTTTACTTCCAAAAATTATATTAACTTTATCAGCACTATTTATTATCTAGGTAATTTCTTCTGTGACACCAGTTATTTTTATATTATTATTATCATTACATGATTTTATCAAAAAACTTTTAAATATTGTTATATCACTTCCTGTATCTATTAAAACACAAGTTGTTATATTTGTTTCTATAATAGTAATTTGTATATGTACAGCTAATGGAAAACTTATCTGATTATTCATTTAATTCTTTTTACATAATATAGTTTGTTTATTATGGACTATACATAATCCTTCTCTTTTTATACTATAATCTTCTAATCCATTTAAAGAACTCATTTTTAAAAGCATATGGGGGTTTATATCCATACTTTTATCTATATAATACGGTACTAAAAGATATATTCCTCCTATTTTTATTGGTACCTTAACTTCCAAATCTGTAATATGTATCTGTCCATCAAAATTTACATATCTATATGGATCAGTTTTATGAGTTACTAATCCTTTATTTCTGATTGAAGTTATATGACATTCACCAACTCCTGTATCTATTAATATATTTGGTCCATTTATATTTTCTCTTCCATTATAATATTCTATTTCTATTTTCATATTTCTAGCGTTCCTATAAAATTTTATTTCTTTTATATTATTAAATTCTTCTAACTGGTTTTTATTAGGTACTCTAAGACTTTTTAATCTTTTGATTAATTTTCCATCCTTAAATGTTATATTATTAGAACATTCTCATTCATTTAATTCTATTATTTCAGGTTTATTTTTTGTTATACTAAATCATATTCTTCTTGAATTAAGCTTATTTGTTCATTTGGTTCTATTATTTAACTAATATCTTTACATTCTTTATGAATTTCAATATATGATTTATTGGAATAAATATTCTCGTAATTAGAATTAGTAAATGTATATAAAACTCTATATTCTGTAGTCATAATTTGATCACTCGATTGCATGATATCATCTCTATAAAATTTAAAATGTAGTCCTAAAACTTCATTAAAATTTTTATCTTTTAATGATACATAGTATTTTGGATAACGCGTAAACATAAGTTTTTGATATGCTAAATTTTCTTCTATTATTCCTAAACGACTATCTTTTAAATTTATTATTCTTCCGTCATGTAAAGTTATAGTTAAGGGTGAATCTATCCATTCTCTAAATAGTGATTTAAACATTATTTGTATTCCTACTAAATAAATTTTATCTTTTCCAAATTCTATATAACACTTCTCATTTCCCTATTTTTAAATCTAAAAATAATTTTTGTAATTTTCCAAATTTATTGTTATCAAATGTAACTTTTAATCCATATCCTTCTATTCCTTCATATTCTTGTATATTTATATTATTACTTTCTATTTCTTTATTCAGATTCAGATTCATCATTATCTATTTCACTTATATAAATTTTTTTATTATAATATTCTTCAATGTCTGATATTTCACTCAATTCATCTTTTATTTTCAAATATTCTTTTTATAATATTGTAACTTTTTTTTTTCACAATCAAGGCTTATAGACATATTTCCCCACAATTCCAAAATTTACATTGACTTTTATTTTTCTTATAACTTTTATTTTTCTATTGACCATATGAGATATTTTTTCTTTTATAATATATTCCTCTAAGTTTTATATATTTTTTTATTAGAATTTCTAAATTTTTTTAATTTTTTAATTTTCCTTTATTAACCTTTCTTTCAGGATTACATCCCCACTTTATAGAATTTTTCATATCTTCACAATATATTCTAATTAGTTTTCCTGATTTTTTATTAATTGTCTTTGTTGACATATATATGCAAGTCTTTCAAAGAAAAATTTTATTCTTGAACCTAAAGTCCTAGGTATTCCAACATTATCTCTAACATATTTTTTAAATTCTATTTTAAAATATATTCCCCATGAACCTGATAATTTATTATAATACATATCTTGGTTCTCATTACTATAAAACTGAACATAATAATAATTTCTAAATTCACAAGTATATTATTTAATTTTACACATATCACATATTGTTAAATTTATTAGTTTAATTTTAGCTTTGTCTTTTTTTTTTCCTTATTTATTCTCTTTCAGCATTTTTTATCTAATTTTCTCTTAAAAATTTATCTAAAATTATTCTACTAACTTTTCTATACCTTGTCTATCTAATTTTATTATTTCTGCTTATACGTTTCTTTTTATTAATGTTTTTGTATCATTATTTATTTCTTCCCACCAATTTCTAATATCTCCTTCAAATGATACTATTAAGAATTCTTCTTTCAGTATTTTCTCATATGTTATCTTTATTATATAAAAAGAATAATATTATTGAATCTGTCCAAATTAATAAGGCTTTTTTAGTATCTATTTTACAATTTAAATCTAATTTTGTTCCTCCATGATTAATAGGTTTATTATAATTATCATTTAATTCAAATCTATCTCTATACTTATTTTCTTTAGGTGGTTTTCTAATCTCTTACTTTATCATAAAACTGTCTATATGATTTATTATATATAGGTGTATAACTTTCATCTGAATCTTGTATTTCTTGTTTAGAGGTTCCTATTGGATTAAATCCTTCTTCGGTATTCATTAAAATTTGGTATTTACTTATATCATTTAAACTTAATTGATCAAAATTTTCTATAAGTAAGTCTAATTCCTCATTCATCATTATTTTCTTGATTTTATTCTATTTTTAATTTTTCTAATATTTTTTCTCTAGATTATTTTTCTTCTTATAATATTTTAGGTAATATATTCGTTCTAAATTCATCATCTATATTTTCTATTTTTATTACTATATTTTCTTTCTCAATATGTTTCTTTCCTATTCTGATAATTTCTTTTTCTATTAAATTTTTTATCTATTTTTTTATCTTTATTTTTATTATTCTCTTTTATTTCTCTAATTTCAATTTTTAATATATTTATATCATTTCTTGTTTATCTTATTTCATTTCTTAAATATTGTATATCATTTATTAACATTTTTTTTAATAACTTTAATTCTTCCATATACTCACTTATTGACATATTAAAATCATCTTTCTAACATATAAGTTAATTTACATCTTTTATCTTTCTTTTTTTTATCTATTATTATTCCAAATATTCTATTAACTATATCTGTATTTACCAATTCTTTTTTTACTATATTAAAATATTTACTTTCAAGTCTTAATCTTTTACATTTTAATTTTATTAATTGTATAACATTATATCTCGTATTTCTTCTTGTATTTTTTCCATTTTTATAAGTAATCTATTTAATTTCAAATATGTATTCTTATTTGCACTCATACGTCTCTTTATAATATAAATTAATCTCTTCATATTTAAATTCTTTAATAATTTTTTCATACACATATATTTCTTTTATCAATCCTATTATTAATTTTTCTAATATTTGTTATTTTATTTCTTTAGGTAAATCTTTAACTATTGTTAATGTTATTATTTTTAATTTATTAGAAATAGGTTTTAAAAATATATAACTTCATCTTCCTTCTTCTAATTTATAATAATTATATATTTTTCTTATTTTAATTTTCACGATTTCTATGGCTACGATACCAATTAGGGGTGCTACTTATAGCGAACTAAAATCAAATAAATCTATAAAAAAAAATCAAATAAATCTATAAACAAAAAATCTTTAGAAAATCAAGTAATATTTAATTTTAAGAACTAAAATGCAAGATTTCTATATTATATTAACTTGTTATGTAATATTTAAAAGGAGGGGTATTTTAGGTATCTAAATAAGTCAAATATTATTTTGAAAAATGGCTTTTTTGTTTTAGGTCATTTCCATGTATTTCCCGTCATAAGTACCATTTACCAAATTGATGTCAAATCATATCTTTTTATATTTTAACAATTTTCCCCTTTTTTCTTAATAATTTTAATTGTAAATAATAGTAATATTCTTGAATAATGTAGTTCATTAAAATTCAATATAATAAAATTACCCTCATAAGCTGTTCAAAACTCTTAAATCGTCCATATAATTTAGGTCCTATTTGATTGTTGGAAAATTTCCATGAGAAATGGAAAATCAAACATATTTTCAATATTTCAGCTGTTTGATACTTTTTTTTTTTCCCAAGGAATTTATTTTCTTAGTTGTTTCGAGAAGCAGCAATTTTCCAGGTTTTCATGCAATTTGAACTCTCACCAATATGGTGAAAATTCGAATTTCAGGTCGCTATAGCGATTTTAATTTTATTTTTTTGGTTGACAATGGAAACAAATTTTAAGAATTATTGTGAAAAAATATTTTCCTTTAATTGACAATTTCCATGTAAAACAAAACCAAACGAATACCAAAAGATAGATGATTTTCTTGATTTATTTTTATTTTTATTTTTTTTGACAATGGAAACATATTTCATCTCCAATACCAGTAAATTCTATCTCTTTAATTGACAATTTTCATATAAAACAAAGCAAAACATACTTTTATTTCAACATTTTCCACATGAAAAATTATACCAATCAAACACAATAATTTACAATACTTAGTAAAACAATTTCTAGACAATTCAATCTCTTGAGATTCATTTTCTTTCTACCTAAATTCCATTTTTGCAATCAAACGGATCCTAGTGTATATACAACGTGTCCATATAATTTCATTTTATTAACCACAAAAATCAAACAATTACAAAGAAAGTGTACCTTTAAGCAAGGATAGATAGCCCACACAGTAATGTGCATTGAATTTGAGATTAATCTCATAACCTCAGCCTTGTCCTTGTCCTTGTCCTTTACCATTAGATCAAGGCCTCACTGGAAAAGGCCAGGTTCTTATAAGAAAACACGGGCACGTTAGGTACACGATATTAGATCTTACGCCTTAGTAAATGTTTCCAAAACCTAACCCTAATAGGATTATCCGAGTGTACAGATCAAAATCGGGCAGATAGACAGCTCTACCACTGAGCTACTAAGAAATAACGGGAGATCTGAAATGTTCAATAGATCCGAGCTTGGGCCAGTTGGCAAGCTACTTTTCATCTTACAGGTCCTGGTTACTTGCAAGAACACCGTTGCCACCTGCTTACCACCGGGGACTTGAATTACCATAAGATTTCCATGATTCGTTCCCATAACGTCTACTGTTGCTTCTCTCGGATGAAGAATTATAAAAACCCGATTGTCTCCCATATCGACTGCTTTTCTCGTACGGAGAACTGTAAGAAGTAGATGGTCGTTCAGAATTGCTATCCCTGTAATAATTTCTCACTTCCTCTTCGTCATTATACTTGGAGCGCTGCAAAGAGAGTTGAACATCAATGTTAGAAATCCGCATCTCAAAACTACAAACTTATTAGGAAGTGTTTTTGATGTCTCCCAACGTAAACTAAACTAGCAAAAAAAAAAACAAAAAAGAAAGAAAGAAGCTTTTAAGCTAAGATTAAGACTTCCACAGGCAACAAACCTATGCAATTACAACGCCAAAAGGAAAGTTGCTGCCTTGCTTATGGAGGAACTTCTCATAAATCTAATACTGCATGGATTACTGGGAATGCGTGGAGAGTATTTTCAGAAATTTAATAGGCATGAACTGTTTCAAGACCTTGAATTTCTATTCATTCAGCGCGAAGCTAACTTTGCCACTCATGCTCTAGCTAATGGCTCTTTTTTTTGCATTATAAGTTATAATCTTTGGGCTGATTGCTCACCTCCCTTCAATGTAGCCGCTCTTAATTCTGATCGTTGGAATGGATTATGGATGTCATTACTTCCACTAAACACTAAAAAAAAAAATCTTACTGATCTAGACTGGGGGCTCAGAGCATGCTTGACTACCTATAACGAGAAAGTAAAATTATCAGAATTGTTTGTTTAATAATGCTCCTAGTATACCTTGATAGGATCTGAAAGTACGGCATACGCCTCCCCGATGATTTTGAATAACCTGTCAGCATCCTTGTGGATGTTCTCACCAACCTCTTTCCACAATCTTCCATCATCCAAACCCTCACTCCTCGCCAATAACTGACCAGCCTATAGCAGCAGAAATAAGTTAGCCATACATACATGAATGCTCAACAATATTCACTAATATAGCCATGATAAGAAGTTCATGACCTTGTCTGGATGATGTCTAAGAGCAGCCTTTCTATATGCTTTTTTAATCTCGGATTCTGTATCAGATGATTTGATTCCCCTGTTAGACAGCATTTAAGAGTAAAGAAATGTTTAAAACTTGAATATGGATCTCAATTGATAGTCTATAGATTCAAAATCTTAAGCAAGATTGACAAGAAAGCTCTAGATGCACAGTGTCTAGTATCATTTGCAGGAATGCCAAACAAAAAGAAAAGGAATACAACTTTATGATATGTGCATTCATCTTTCCTTAATTTAGATGTGTATGTACAAGTGAAAACCATCTTCGTCTACACACTGTTGTGCTGATTTTACAGCAGACGTGCAAATAAACATTTGGGAAATAGAATTTGATAATGCCAGTTCAAGCTGCAGATAAATTTGCTTCAGATTGAAGCGCTGAACAAAAATAAGACTGACTTACAAAATGACGTAAAGATCCAGTTGAGTTTCTGTTCTAGCTTTCTCTTCAATTAAAGAAAGACGGCGACGTGTTCTTCTTAAATCTTTCGCACTACCACAATTTGATTTATCCTGTCCTCCAGATTGTCGAGTTTTTGCTTGAAATGGACTTTCAAGCAGAGAAACAACTCTCTGAAGATCGCAAACTGCTTGCTTATAATCTCTAATCATCTCATGTAATGTAGCTCTCCTGGAAACTGCCTGCAAAGATGATAAGGACAATTAGACATAAATTGTTGGCAAACGAACCCCGACAATTTGCCACCACCTACTTAGCATAGGCTATTGTTTGGCTCATGTTTATAAATACTCAAATCCATTTTTTATCCACACATTTCAAGAAGCCCACAAGCACTATCCATTTATTCACCTCTCAATTCTATCTATTTATAATTTAAACTGTTTATAAACACTTCCCAAACAAGCAATAACTATATGGCAAAGGTGAAAGAATATGAAGTACTTTTGACTGAAATTGTTCCTTACTCTTAAAACAATATATTTCATCAAGCTGGCTATTATACTTTCAAAATTGATGCATTGATCCTATTTTATAGACACTAGTGGAGCATAATTTTTATCATTTCTAGTGCCAAACTTGTCCTTACTTCGAAGAAACATATTAATTACTTCTATGCCTATGGTGAATAAAAAGCATGTTCCAAAATAAAGACGACAAAAGCCAATCTAAGCAAGAAAAAGCCCAGAAAAAGTAGAAACAAAAAATGATAACTGGCAATCTCAATGAACTAAGGTACATTGTGTGATTTAGACCCAAACCTTCTGGTAATTATCATCAAGAGCAATGGCCACACTACAATCTGCAATGGCATCAACAATTTGGCCAAGTGCTTGGTATGCAGCTGCACGATTGCAGAAACAGATAGCCATAAAATGACGTGACTCGCCACTTTTCAATATAGCTGCAGTATAATGTTCTACAGCTTCTGTATGCCTTCCAGACTGAAAAGCTTCGTTTCCTAGTTTCTATAGGGAATATAAAAAAGTAAATAAATCAAAATATGATACATTGAAAGCATTCAGGGAGACAGGTACTTCCAGTAATCAATTTAGCCAAAAAAAATAAAAAAATAATAGTAATAAATAAATAATAACAATTAAGTCCAGAACTTGAATCAATAAAAAAGAAAATTTTAATCAACATTTCAGCCGAGAAAAGACGTGCAGCTATGTTTCTTTTACCTCTTAAATTTGATGAACACAGAGACAGAGAGCTTAAACAAAGGAATAACCAATCGAAAGAAACCCACAAGATTTGGTATACAACCAAAATCTAGAAAGGATGCTTGAGTAATTATAATATGATAGACTCAGCCGGAATTATTGGAACAGGGCAGCCCATTAAGATTTCTGTAATATGTTTCCATTGACAAAGGGGAAGAAAGAATATAGAGAATTTCATTCTACTTCAAAATTCTTTGCAAAGATTGTAAGTGATCAAAACAGTTACACATTTTCTTGTGCTTCGATATCTAAAACGGCTATTTTAGCAGCTAAGAATCTATGAATACAACTTAATATATAAGTTGACATACCTTCAAATTTAAAAGCTCGCGTACAGTGGCAGCAAAAGGAACTGAGGATTCTTGGTTCATGTTTCTATACCTACATAGTTAGACATGGGATCAACATAACCAAATACATTTAAAAGATATAATTCAATCTGGTTCTTGATGGGTAATGAGTTTTACTTAGTGCCAATAGAAATCAATTCCTCTTGTTTTTCAATCAAATCAAGAGCTATGTCAAGATTTCCCAGATGATAGTGGGACTTAGATTGTAGGCGCCATCTCCACAACTTCACATGAGAGCTCTTGCAATTGGAATCATCCATGTCAGCTGACGCAAGATTCTTCTCAGAAATATCAAGAGTTTGCTCACATAGTTGAATAACCTCGTCATATTTCCGTAACTGTTACATCATTGATAATGAAAACACTTACCAATTTGAGGCCACTAGTAAAATGAAAAATAATAATGTCAGTTATGAGAGAATTGATGAGGACATACAGTGCAAAGAGCCTCTCCTTTCATCTCAAATAAGCTCTCTGAATAACGACTTATCATCAAGGCTTCCGTAATATTCTCTAGCGCACTGGTTGCTGCATCATGAGTTTTTTCTTGCAGAAGCTCGGCGGACTGAAGCATGTACTTGGACACTCTCTGTCAGCCATCCATTGTTAATCAGCTGTTATTTTTATGGATCGATATACAAACATACGCTGAAATACATACATGTGGTGGAAAGAGAGACCGACGAGTGAAATTTACACACACCAATACATTCCTATCCACGATACAGTTATTTTCCTTTCTCCATTTTATCTTCGTTTAGGCAGACAAGTTCATGAAATTTCCCCCAACAGTATATGATAATTCCAAGAGGAGACATACGATTGACCATACTTATTGTTTCCAGGCCATTTTAAATACAAGATATTTGAGGGAAGGAAGGAAGGAAAATGATACTCCTCCCTTGATTGGAAAACTCTAAGGGGAAAGAGAAAAGAAATGAGAATACTTCACCTTTTTAGACATTCAGGAGTAGAATAATTTAAAATAAATAAAGTGATAAGTGATTGTGTAATTTGCGTTATCTTCTAAAGCTGATTTTGAGATCATTTATCCCAAGGGAAGCAATTATCATTTTGACTCCGGAGGTCTTTCAAAAAGATGGGCTCTTGATCACCTACAAGAGCAAAAGGATAGAATATGTGCAAGCAGAACCTCTTTTGACACTCCCTGCCCAAAAATCTCTGATAAATTGTGGCTATGCAGTCATCATTTACTTGTGAAGGCTAATCTCTACTAATATTTATCTACTAACAGGGCAGGCTGGAGAACGGTTACGTTACTATTGGGGCATAGATGCTAAAAAGAATATTCATGATTTCCTAGATAATACCTAATAATACATACACATTCTGAAGAGATAGATGACTTCAGAGATAAATCGTAGTCATTCACGCTAGGTGGGGAGTTAGCATGTCGACTCGAGGCCCATATATATTTAGTTGGACCTTATTGATCATTTTCCCCTCGTCCCAATCCACTTCATTTTGCAAAGTTCAGAACCTAAAAGGTCTAATGTGTAGACCCATTTAAAACCCCCCAAAACAGATGACCCACATTGCATTGCCTCCAAGTAATCCATTGACATAAGCGCATAACAGAGATGACATGAGCAAGGCACAAAACAAAGACAACAGCTTTAGTTGTGTACATTTCAAATTACTTAATATTTCTCATGAAAGATCAGGTAATGACAGAATGTTGGCTCAGTCTTAGTGCTGATCACCTGTTCAAAGAAATATATTACGAAAATGGATATACATGTGTCCATGTTCAAGATCACTTGAGAATGAGCATGAATATTTAATGGATAAGAAGTAATCAGTCTGCAACTTTAACCATATTCATATAACAAGTTATATTAAGACATAAAGTGCAACCTGTGACTTTTGCAGGCCATCAGCAGCTTCAATTGTGACTCTCCTATCTAAGCAGACATCAATCAGCGATTCCAAGCACTTTTTGTAACATACCATTGCATCTCCAACTTCTCCCAGCATCAGATGACAACTTGATAATAAAAAAGAAAGCCAAGAAACGGATTCAATCAATTGATGTATCTGAAGATACAAAAAATGACAATAAAAGGAAACAATATCAAAGGTAACCCTAAAGTATCATACAAAGGTTGCAATATGCATGGGTGCATGCACTGATGGATGCACACTCCTCTTATGGATAGTTGACATTGATTGGTGATTGGATAAATTTTGACATTGTTTGGGTGGATTTTGACATCTAGTCACTTTCCTCAATCAATTGTATAATTTTAGCCAAGTCTAAGCAATCTGCTTTCTTTCCTTTTTCCTAGTGCATTTTCGGTAAAGCTTTTCTTTTAGCTAGTCAGACATAATTTTTATCCACATTTCTAAGGCCCCATGACTTATTACACATTCTGCAGGACCCATGGTTTATTAGCACTTAAAAGCATGACCAAGCAAGCAATTTTTTTGTTGAGGAATAGAGAGATTATTGCTTGGGTATCAAAAGGGTGAAAGCCGTGCAGTTAGCCACCTAGTACCAGCAAATATCATAACTTAAGTCTCTAATAAAATACTAGTGGACTTTAGATTGCTCATAATATATGGAAAATGCATGTCTTGCACGTGTGTACTATATCGGAAATTTACATGACAAAAAAGTCGAATACTAATGACACAGTTCTTTTCATGTTTACTTTCCCACTTTAGCACTAAGTCAAAGAAATGGATGATAATAAAAACGGACATTGATAAAGTTCTTACTTTCCAGCTCTTACAGCGACCTTGAGAAAGCTGGGGTCTAATTCAATGGCCTTTGTACAGTCTCCCAGGGCTTCCCTCATCCTCCCAAGGGACATTCGTGTGGCTGCACGGTTGCTATAGCAGAGCAAGAGCGGTTTAATGGAGCATCCTTCAATACTTGCATTTGAGGCACAATTTATGCCCGTTGAATAAAACTCTTCAGCTTTCGAAAACGTCCCCGCATGATAAGCCTGGTTTCCCCTGAATGCATTGTATACGTTAAACAATGGAAATAATTTCTCGTGTCCAACAACAGAAAACAATATTCAAGCAGCAAAACAGAACAATTACCGAAATGTCTCCTATGTAACTGGTGAAGATTTCACCAAAACAAAAAATGATTTGATAGAAAACAACAAAGCTGCAGGGTGCTTAGGTATTTGATTACTGTGAAATGAAATGTACCTGATTCTCCAGTGCTCACACAAATCATCGGATGCAGACTTTTTAGGGCCTTGTTTTGAATTTTGTTTGTCAGCATCAAAAACAAATTTTTCTTTGCTTTGACAAGACAGGGTTGCTTGACTCTGTACCTGTCCTGGACCCACATCTGAAATATTACGAGCAAGGGGAGAGGACTGCACTTCAGAAGAAGAAGCAATTGAAGATGTTCGGCCTTGGGCTGTGCGATTTGAACCAACTTTCAACTTGTATTTTTTCTTGTATTGATTCCTTATGGCTGATAAACCATCTTGTCCTGGCAATGAAGCAGAGAAACTAAATTTGCACTCCCCATCAGATGGCCTTTCAGTATGTCCCATAAAATCTTCTCCATTTGTGATAACATCTTCTCCTTCCACTCCAGTAGCCATAGTTGCGAAGCCACCAGATGGTGCATTGTTACTACAAGTATCTTGATAAGGTGAAAAATCCATGGGTGAACCACATCCAGGGGACTCATAATTTTGCCGAAAACTGCCTTCTTTAGACATGGGGTCTTGCTCGGGCTTATGTCGGATCGAGCTTCTTTGTCTTAACTTTCCATCTGCCTTCTTCAACCTTCTGCTCCTAGCTGATTTATGATTTGCACTAAATTCTAACTTCTTGTTTACTCCGGGAAATAAATTAGAAGACGTAAATGAAAATTCAATATCTGGAGTGCTAAAGTCTGTACAAGATGACTCTAATTTAATGGGTGTGCTCATAAAGCTATTGCTGTCTTTCTCAGCTTTATTAATGCCTTCATAAAAGTCACCATTGTTTGGTTGAACAGCAGTTCCAATTGACGAGAAAAAACATGAAGACATTCTATTGGATTGGATGTTATTCTGCAATAAGCAATCCTCATCCGAAGCCTTCTTGTTCATCGTATGATTATCCTTTCCAAAAGCACCAGCAACAGAAAACCATGAATATGTCTGTTGACTGGATACTCCAGCCCCAGTTTCAGAATTTGCACTTTTCGTTTCGCCAAATAACATGTCTGAAACATTGGGTCTAAAAAAATCAGAAGGTTTTCCGGTATTTTCATGTGCATTTACCTTATGGGCATTCCTTGTTGCATCAATTTCGTCACCCTTTTCAAGGTCATTGCCTTCTGCATTCGCATCCCTGAATGGATTCCAAGACATTGTATCAGGTCTTTCAGTTGAAAAAACAGACTCCCTTCCATTGCTTCCAAAAATGAATACGTTACTAGTAGTGGCAGATGAATTGCTACCACAATTTCTGCTCTTCTCAGCAACTGCTTCAGAACCGTCAATCTTTAATCCCTTCATCTCATCCGAAAGTTCAAAGAGAGGGCTCTGAAAATCAGTACCTAAACCACATCTACTTTCAAATTTTAATTTAGAGTATGTACCGTCATTATCACTGTGACCAAAAAAACTATTGGAATCATCAGCTTTCCCACTGTTCATGTTATTCATTTCATCAACAGGCAAAGTAGTTCCTTCAGGATTCAAATTCTTCTTGCTTCTTATTCCTCCAATACCAAAACCACCATTGATATTGGTGTTCTGAAAACCAGTTCCACCATCTGTACTATCTTTAGTACTGTTAGTAAAATTGCACCTCCCTCCATTTTTGCCATTTGAGTTATTTTCCAAATCTGCACCTAATTTTGAATTATTACTATCAGCACCAAACACAAAACTATTATGATCTTTTGTCCTACTCACACTCGGAGTAGAAGGGAAACCAAAGCTAGAATGACCAACCCTTTCAGAATCCCCTCTGGATTCTGATTGTGCCTTATCACTAATATCGGGTACGGTTTTTCCAACATCTTTACTTGATTCATTCTTCCCCACTTTTCTGCCACAGTATTGTTCTTTTGGATCTAAACTATTTGAAGCATAACCGCTCTTACTAGCACGGAACACAAAACTTGCACTATTGACTTCCCCAAATCCATTGACACTCGATTGCGAGTCAGTATTATTTGACTCTTTTTTCTTCATCCTTTCTGGCTCGTTCTTACCTGCACCAAACATAAATCCCAAGTCATCAGATTTCTTAAACTCGTTAGCTCCTGATTGTCCTCCATTTACCCTTGATTGTTTCTCTCCAAATTTTGTATTAACACCTATCACAGATACCTCACTTTCCAAATTTGTATTTAACGTTGATCCGTTCTTATTAGCACCAAATACAAAATATCCATCATTCAAACTTGTATTGGACTTCGAGTTATCCATATTTGTACTGAAAGAAGAATTTCCATTATGCAAATCCAAATTCGATATTGAATTAGTCTTATCAGCACCAAAAACAATACCCGTGCTACAAAATTTTCGAGGTACACTCCAACTGTCACTGCACTCCGCATTCTCCAAACCACCGCTTTTTCCCACATTGATATCATTATTAACCCCAAACACAAAGCCTACGTAATTGCCAAACTTTGCGCTTCCATTACTAAGCTCACTAAACCCACGAGAATTACTTCTAGTAGCTTCATTTAATTGGCCTGAATTACCAGAATTTGCCATATTAGACGAGTTAAAACTACTTGTCACCGATTTTCCATTTTGAGAAGCACCCGGTTGCTTTTTCCTCATCTTCCTCATCCTCAGCTTTATCCGACCCGAAAAATTCGATCTTCCCGGACACGCGTTCTTGCATTCATATCCACCAGCACCGCTTAAACTATCAAAAAAATTGACATTTTCTGGAGATTTCGAGTCCCGATTATTCAACAAATCCGGGTTAGGGCTTTGAAAAGCGGAGAATGATGCAGTCATCGGCGGCGACATTAAATTGTTTCGGGTTCCGCAAGACAGTTAATTGCCGAAGTAGGTTTTTGAGATTTGGGATCGCTCCAAACTTCAACCTCAGTTACTGTTCAACTTTGCTTGAATTGAAAGGTATTGAAATTGAAAACTCAATCAAAAATTTGGAAAAGAGTCGTGGAGCGAGGGTTTTGGCATGTGGGGTTTAGAATTTGGAAAGGGCAATTAGTTCAAAACGTTCTTTCCATTTTTCGACATTTTCACTCTTACTTTTATCATTCATTACCAAAAATATCATTTTCATCAAATTTCTCATTAAAAAATATAAAATAATATATATACCCTTCTATTTAAATTAAAAAAAAAAGAAAAGAGATTAAAGAACAAATTGTAATTACACTCACAAATTTTTTTAAAAATGTAAATGGGTTTAAATAAATTGTTAAAAGAGTACTTACCACAAAATGTCCATAACTTTCAAGTTCAACAGAATTGTGCAAAACGTCCCAACTTTTTAATTTTTGACAATCTCACCCTTATTTTTTACATTTCATTGTAGAAATCATCATTTTCAACTATTTTTTCAATTTAAAAAATGTAAAATAACGAATATACCCTCTTATTTAAATTAAAAAACAAAAATAAAGGATAAATTGCAATTATATTCCCAAAGTTTTCAAAAAATTACAAATAAATAATTAAAAAATCACATTCTTTTTAATTATTTATTTGGCGATTATTTGTACATTTTAAAAAAAAAAATTGGAAGTATAATTACAATTTGTTCTTTTTGTTTTATTTAAATATGAGAGCATGTTGATCATTTTACATTTTTTAATTGAGAAAATTGATAAAAATAATTATTTGTGTAATGTAATGTAAAAATAAGGATGACCCAAAAATGAAAAGTGTGGATGTTTTACACAATAATATTAAAAGATATTGACATTTTGTACTAATTATCTTTTAATAATTTACTTGGGCTCATTTGTAGTTTTGAAAAAAGCTTGGGGGTATTATTGCAATTTGTTCTTTAGATTTTTCTTTTTTATTTTATTTAAATAGAATGGTATATTTGTCATTTTATATTTTTTTATTGAGAAATTTGATTTAAATGATTTTTTTTGGCAATGAAATGTTAAAATAAGAGTGAAAATGCCAAAAATGAAAGGCAATGATGTTTTACATAATAATATTAAAAGATAAGAACGTTTTGTGCTAATTTACCATTTGAAAAATTATTCTTGATTTGAACCCTGAAATCGTCGATTTGAAAGTTTTATATTGGTGGAATTTTTGCCGCTTTTTTTTTCAATTATTTTAATTAAAAAGCTTTTTATATTATTTATTTTAATTTTGCAATTGATTAAAACTTGATTGACAAGAGAAGAATTAAACCCAATTATTGTAATTATCAAGACATTTGAAAATTTGTCAAGATCTAAACGATCAAAAGCCCCAAAAGAGTGCAATGACTCCTCTCTTCAATTTTGAACCGTTCGATTCTTGGGTGACAACACCCTTGGCTTTCCCCTTTTGATCCTTAGCTCAAATGAATATGAATTTAATTGTAACAAAACATCGTTCAGGATCGACCAAATAGTTGCATTGAGTTAAACGTCACCTTTTTGCCTAATTGTACTACCTTTTCAATCCAATCATTAAACATGACGTATAGATTAATGATCACGTCCTAGGCTATAAATATTGCATTTCTTTGCCTCAAATTCCGAATCTTTTTTCCATCTTCAATGCAAATAAAGTTATTCTTTTTCTCAAAATCATTTTCTTTGATGAAAATGAGGTAGTTTACTTTCCGTATCATGAAAGGTTGTAGTGTTGCTCCATAGGTACGAAATCCTTTATATCAAGAGCAAAAATTGCTCGAGAACTTCAACAGTAGAGGGACAAAATTGGACCTTGTAATATGTATATTAAGTTTTATATAATAGGTTATATCATGTTACATGTCACTTCATCATTTGCCAGTTAAAAATACACTTAACTTTTTCATCCAATTTTTTACCACCACATCATTTTATGTAGCCCTTTGTGTACCATGTTTAAGTACAAGTAATATAATCCTTTATTTTAAACACACAATGTAACATTGTTGTGCTCATGTTATTGTCAATTTATTTTAATTATCAATTGTGCTACATATATGTAATATGTTTAAATAATGGTATACATACACATTATGTGGTAAGATATAATTGTGATATAATTTCTTCAACCAAATTTAAGAAAGAAAACTTCATTACTTTCTATTTGACACATCATCTATGTATAAATCATTATGTAACTGCTTTTGTACGAGTAACATTATTCTAATTTTATTTAGTTATGTATTAATTTGATTCTTATTTTATTTAGTTATGTATTAATTTGTTGTATTCATATTCTAGTACTATATGCAAAACATGTTAGAATGGAGGTTTTGATGTATGATATTCATTTCGACTAACTTGTCGCATAAATTGGCTTTATGGTAAAGTGTGAAGAGTCTAAGAGTCTAGTTGTATTAATTACGGGTCTTAGTTATTGTTGACAAGCTAAAAGTGCAGCCCAAATTGAATAGCCCAAAGAATGAAACTCAACTGGGCAATTCATAATAAAAGCCCAAATATGATTATTAATGAATGCAGTGGAAGACCATGAACGCAGTAACACCATCACCCAAACTTGCAAGACGCCCAAGATCTGAGCGAATGAAGTGCCTTGCAGTCGTCCAGAGTTATGACCCTATCATCGCCCAAACCTTTGAATCGCCCAGGATCTTAGCAAACATAAGATATTATGGTTATCCAAAAGTGCAGTTATCGAAGCAGTTATTGAGTAATCTTATCACGTTCCATGATTCAAGGAGTTCAGTTGAAGACGGTTGAACGACAAAGAGTAGTAGTAGCAGTTAGAGACGGCAGTTCCACGATAAGTTAGCCACCATGAAGAAAGTGGGCAGTTATAAAGCAATTAAGCAGTTTCTAAGCGGTTGATCACGAAGAGATTATCAAGGGAATATAAAAGGAAGAAAAGCCATAAAGCAAAGCCCCCGAATCAAACACTCTCAAACAGAGAATATGTAATTTCAATTCTTTAGTTTAGACTTAAAACATTTTTTTTCAGTACTCATGTACTTGCGCCCCTTGAAGGCATTCTGTTTAAATTTCAATTGTAAAGACATCACCAATAAAACACCCCTTTTTGGGACTTTGTCTCAAGAGGTTCGTTTCTTTCACAATCGTTTGACCCCTTTTTTAATTGTTAGCGACAACTCGCGCGAAACAATTTGGCACGCCCGGTGGGACATTGGTGTTCGGTGTTGAAAATACAAAAGGTGAAACAATATACCTCAGAAATCCGATAAGGAAGCAGCAAGTCAGGGAGGAGTCCAGTTTGTGATCGAGCAATATGAGGAGCAGCATAGCTCTCCACGAACAGATGGACAAAATCAGAGCAATCATAGTCGTTACAAACCAATGACAGAGTTGAGTCCTCGAACCATGCGTGCATTACTCGAAGAACTCACACAAGATGTCGTTGAACAGATAAATCTACGAAATATTCATAATATGGAAAGATTTACCCAGAATGGGAATACACATTATGACAACATGGCCAAACAATTGAATACTTTGAACGAAATAATGAATAAGTTAGTAGGCCAAATTTGTTAGCCACTTGTGCCTCTTACAAATCACTTTCAAATTAGGACAATTGTGGGATATAATTCCCCGATCCTAAGTTTAAATTAAGGGGTAGAACCACCTTTTGATCCCTCTACTTCAAATCAGGGGAGTGGTGTAATACCAAATCAGAATAGTGGCATTGGTACATCTAATTTGGGGGGTAACCTAAATGTAAGAGATAATGTCCTAAATAATGGGTAGAAAACCCCACGTGTTAATGATGGAATAAATGTTCATACTAATGGTAACAATGGCCCAAATTATGGTAACTTTGTTGCCAACCAAGGACCAAACATCAAGCCTCAAGCAAATCAACCGGTCAACCAACTTATAGGAATTTCATATGACCCCAACGTTATGTTGAGGAATCAAATTATGGAAATAGCGCAGGATCAGATGGCTTTTGGGGTACGTCCTGTCATTAGGCCGACTTACACAAAGCTATATCCTGATTGGGTAGACTAAGCATATTCATGGCTTAGAGGGTATAAAGTGCCAGAATTCTCACTGTTTACCGGTTTAGGAGAGGTGTCTACTCTCGAACACATAGGGCGATTCACACTGCAAACTGGTGACGTAACTGATTACCATAAAATGAGGTTGTTCCCTAATTCATTAACAGGAGTAGCCTTCTCCTAGTTCATCAATTTGTCAGCAAACTCTGTCCAAACATGGCAACAATTGGAGCAATTGTTCCACTCTCAATTTTATAAGATTGAGTTTGAAGTTACTTTGGCCGATTTGGCGAATCTACGTCAAATGCCAAACAAATGGGCAGAAGGTTTCCTTCAAAAGTTCAAGACGGCAAGAAGTAAATGTTTTGTACCTTTGCCAGAAAAGGAGTTTGTCAAAATCGCTCAAGGTTGCTTAAGCTTTGATTTGAAAAAGAAATTCCATGACAAGAAATTTCCTGATCTTTTCCAATTGAGCGTGAACATGATTAGGTATGAACGATTAGTAAGAGAAGAAGAGCAAATGAAAAATTCTAGCAAGGGGACTTATTATAGAGATCCAAAGTTTGATGTTCATACCATTAATGACGAGTATTACGATCAAACTGAAATGTGTTTGGCCGAATTAGTTAAAGGAGGCACGTATACTTGTCCTATAATGGCTAAGCCTAGACGTCGGGCAAGGATAAGCCTATAAAAGATAAAAACATAAAGGCTAGAACGTTCTCGTTCGACGTAACCAAAGCTGAACTTATATTTGATAAATTATATAAGGACAAGCAGATAAAATTGAGCGATAAGCATAAATTGCCAAGCCCTAAACAAGTTAAGGGTAAAAATATTGTAAATGGCATAATGCACGGTCACATTTGATTAACAACTGTTTGGTTTTTCGTCATGTGTTACAGGATGCCATTGAATCAGGGCGACTTACGTTCGAGGATAAGAGGAAGATGATAGTGGATGAAAATCCTTTTCCACAGCCACTTGGAGTGAACATGGTGACGTCTGGTTTCAAAAATAAGTTGCCAAAATTCAAGTTGGTTATAGATGATGGAGAAGAAGACCC